CTTCTCCAATTGATGGCTTCTTCAGTCGACCAGTTTTGGTAAGATTTTCTCCTGCTGTCATCATCATGTAATCGTTCCATTCTTCTCGTAGTGCCACCTTAAAAGCCTTATTAATGGAAACACCAAGGGACTGAAGCTGACAAGTCAAGCCACCTGGAATAACCGCAAGTTGGGTTTTCATTGTCTCGGCAATCTTCTTAACATCCTCAGTCAAGTGTACCCTGAAGGAATCGAAGACAAGCAAGGTCGGTTTCTTAAGCAGAGCTCCTGGTCGGCATCCAAATAACTTCTTAAACCAAATTTGCATACCATCAGTATCCATCCAGCCTTTCTTATGCATGTGAAGAAGTATTCCATTGGGCATTCCGGCCGAAGCCGAGCGTATGCATTTCATCGGTGTAAGAGTAATAAAGAGATATATTCGTTGTTGTTTTTGATTTTAATGCTGCCGGACATCATCGTCTTCTAATATTCAGATGTGGGGTCAAGAATATCGTCTCGTAGTCATATCATCACTTACAATTGTTTACAAAAAAGTACAACAGACTGCTGAAAAACCAGTTGATTCCATACTTTATTATTTTATGCATATTTCACGCATAAAACGTGTACCTGCTTTATATATGCCACCCCCCTACTTTTTGGGCTTGGAAATTTTGGAAAAAAAGGGTGGCTTATACATGGGGAAATACGGTACTAATAAGTTTTGATCTGGTATCACTGTACACAAATATTGCAGTTCAATGAGCCATTTGAGCTCTAATTCTCACCCCGGAGGAGTAGCCAGAGATTACAGATGAAATTAAGTTGAGTATAGCGTCCATTCTGAGGCTACTTAACCTAAACATGATAAGTACTTACTTCACCTTTGACGGTAAGTTTATAAACAGACACAGGGACTTGCAATGGGTTCTGGCTTAGCTACAATTTTGGCGAATAACTATTCGGCTAAGTTTGAGGAACGCTTAAGGCAGGAAGCAATTCCGACTCATAAATTGTGTGTTAGATAAATAGATGATTATTTTGAGATCTGGCAGCATAGTAAGGACAGTTGAGCTAGCATCCGATTTTCTCTTAACCGGCGTGAAAGAAATATTATATTCACAATGAAATTAGACTAAAATAGAAAATTATCTTTTTTGGACTTAATGGTTATTAAGAAAAATGGTAAGTTTGGCAGAGATGCTTATAGGAAGCCAGTAGATGCTAGTTTTGTTCTTTTTTTTCTAACCATAGTTACAAAATTAAGTATGGCCAACTTGCGAAAACAAGA